GGTAGTTGTCTGCGTTCAACCTTGTAAAAGATCCTTTTAAAAACTCCATCGTGAAACGGCCCATAACCTATTGCAAATGTGTTCAAGCAACAAAATCCGCAACTTATAAGAATTTATAAAAGGTCTTTATTGTATAAGAATTTCTTACAGAATGAAAAAATATTTTCTGTTATATTAGACTGAAACAACTCGATCTAATCAACTGCCAATAAGAATTATAAGTTAAAGTGTAAATATTACAAAGTAGTAAATATTATTAAATTGATATTTCTAACAAATTCTTCGTAGCCGCTGCTGCTTGGACAAACATTTGGAGTGGAGTCCAATGAAGCCGGCGGTTGAACGCGTTCTCTTTGAGCCAAATTTTGGAGTTTTGAAGTTTTTTGCAGGGTTTTTGACCACCAGACTATAGAAGCATTCTATTAATTTGGAGTTTAGGCCCTATGTTCGACCAAAAATCTTCGACAGGCCCACAGCTCGCTTTACTAATGGCGTTTTCATTTCTAATGAAAAATTTTGCCTTCTCAGTGCCCTCTACGCACAACTACTAATGATAGCGCAATGAAAAGCAAAATTTTTTTTTGTAGAAACGAAAACTCCATAAGAGTTTTATCTAGATGTGAATTCAAACTTACTATCTTGTCTAGGGTAACCCCAAGATAATTGCTTCACCAAAGGTAACCAACCCAAGGTTCGGATGGTTCCTTCTTATAAACCGTACCAGAACAGTCTTTTTCGGGTTTATATTGACGCTTTCATTGCCGCATCAGTTTGATACAATGCGCAGAGCTGCACACATAGCGTCCGCATATCTAACAGCATCGCAACCTCTTTCCTGTAGTTTGGTTAGAGGTCATCCACCACGAGAGACCATAGTAGAGGACACACCATTTTATGGCTGTAATGTTCACAGAATTGTTGCCTAGGGACGGTGTTATAACACGTTCACGAGGCACCCGACAGTGCCTTTGAGATATATCCATAGGCCCTAAATCAATATGCCCGGTTCCGGGCTTACTAACGAAACGCTGTAGGACAGAATCTGTCGATTTACGCAAACTGGGTGTAGTGTTTGTGATTGCCAGTAAGTTCGCCGCTAGACCAACCTCTTGTGCCTTACTAATGATATTAATATTTAATAGCATACATACACTATAGGGCAAAACTGAGTACATGGCGGTTTCTGCTAAATAATTGCAAGGTTTTTAAATTCAAAATTCAACAAATTTCCATCAAAATTTTCAAATTTTTAACCTGAATCTTTAAAAAAAAAGTTTTTGGGGATGACTTGCGGTTTTCCTCATACAACAAGTGCAATTTATAAGACATCGCGCTGATTTTTCAAATTTCTTTGCAATCGGTCTTGCGCATCTTTCATAAGAAATTCAAAAAGATGTCAGACTAACTGCTCTATTCTGTATCAGTGACATATTCTTGTCACATTTTTTAAGGGAAAAAGTTTAAATTTGTCAGTAAAAAAAATTTTGTCAACGATACAGAATTGGGCTATAAAATTGTATGGGCTATAAAACTGCAAACCGAAAAATGTTTAAAAATTCAGATTCAAAATTTTTTATGAAAATTTATTGAATTTTTCTAAGCTCGTTATAAAAATTTAAAGTTGGTTTTGGTTAAAGCCTGAACCATATCTAATATATAAAAATCTCGTGTCACGGTGTTAGTGGTCGAACTCTTCCTAAACGGCTTGACCGATCTTTATGAAATTTTTTGTGCATATATGGTAGGTATGAGAATCGGATGTTAAGTATATTTCAAACCGCTAGGTGCAGGGGGCGTGGCACCTCACATACAAACCGAATTTTTCACACTGCATATCTCTGAAAGTGTTCATGGTAGAGTACTCGAACATGGTATGGAGATATACGTAAATAATCGCATACTCATGGAGAAAAATTATGGTTATTGCAAAAGGGGGCGTGGCACCTCATATACATACAAACCGAATTTTTCGTACTGCATATCTCTGGAAGTGTTCATGGTAGCGTACTCGAACGTGGTATGGAGATATATGACAACAATCGCATACTCATGGCGAAAAATTATGGTTATTGCAAAAGGGGGCGTGGCACCTCATATACATACAAGCCGAATTTTTCATACTGCATATCTCTGGAAGTGTTCATGGTAGAGTACTGGAACTGGGCATGGAGATATATGAAAACAGTCACATACTCATGGAGAAAAAGGGGGCGTGGCACCTCATATACATACAAACCGAATTTTTCATACTGCATATCTCTGGAAGTGTTCATGGTAGAGTACTCGAACATGGTAGGGAGATATATGGAAACAATCGCATACTTATGTAGAAAAGTTGCGGTTATTGAGAAAGGCGGCGTGGCACCTCCCATACAAGCCGAATTTTTCAAATTGCATATCTCCGGAAGTATTCATGGTAGAGTACTCGAACATGGTATGGAGATATATGAAATGAGTAAGGGATTCTCTTAGAGAAAATTCGAACGCACTGAAACTATTACGTTCTTTGTATGCATACACACTTTTGCTAGGTTTTTAAGACGGCAATGGAAATATGCCTTCTGACAACTACTGAAAATCATAAACGTGAACTGTTGGTGAAAATGTTGGACCAAAATGTTTCAATACAAAATATTAATTTTGGGCGGCACGAAGTTCGCCGGGTCTGCTAGTTTTTATATAAAAAATAACAAAAAAAAATTAATTTTAACGCTATGTATGCATACCAGAGTTGTGAAAAATGCATTAATTTTGTAATGCAGTAACGTACCATTAAGCAATAATGTTAATGTAAATAATTACAGCACATATTTTTAAAATTTAATGCAAATAAAAATTTCAAAGCATTAATTCTGAAAAATATAATGCTAATGAAATTTGTTTTCATTAAATTATCCAAACTAATGCTAATGAAAAATTTTAACGCATTCAAATTTTTAACAATTCAATAAATTTGTAATTTTTCTAGGAAGGACTTTTAACAATTACCAATATTTTTCAGCTTCAGTATATTATGTTCATTTGTAGAAAAAATCTTGTAAACATTGTTAGATGTTTTATGAAAATAAAAGCAATGTCCATGTAACTCATTCGGCTTTTGTTGATTTTTTTTGTTGTTTGTTTTTGCATACCGATTACACTGGTCTACAAATTTCAACTTTTTTTCTGCGAATAAGACGGGACCTGGTGTTTCTAACTTCAGATTCGTAATCAGCGACTCTTAATGTAGTTAAGACCTTAGCATCATTCATTTTATATGGTCGTTTAAGATGAAATTCTTTCTGCGATCAATTTTCCCTGGACTCCTAGACACAAATACACCCCCTGATCTAAGGGTGCATGCGATTAATTCGGCATAGGGCTCATTCGAAAGGGCACGATTTAGCCTTTAATTTCTGACATATACAAAGTTTGTAGCACGTCAGGGTTCAGCTCTACAATTTTTCAAAAATGGCCAAAAACGCTGTTTTTAGGGGTTTCAACCCCTTTTTTCTCGAAAACGTGACGTGATGGGAAGTTTTGGACCCCAGATTCGTGTTCAGCACGAAAAATCCGTTCGGAAACACCAGGTCCCGTCTTATTCGCAAAACCCTTGTAGACCAGTGTTATATAATATAATATAGCAGCACATGTACACGACTGAAGACCTATTTTGATCTAAATGAATCGTTTTTTATTTCCATTTGACAATGTGCTTTTACCTATTTGACGACAATTGCCATTGAATTTGACATAGTGAAAACCAGCCTTAACTTCCGCCACTATCTTTTTTGACCTCAAAGTTCTACCCTCGACGTTAACAAACAATTTTTACTTCAAAAAAAAAAAAAAAAGTCATTAGCATTATTTCTTCGGAATTAATGCATTAAAAATTTATCAAGCATTGGATTTAGATTAATGCATTAATTTTTTACATTAGCATTAAAATGCTATGCATTAAAAAATTAATGCATTTTTCACAACTCTGATGTATACTAGGGTGTTCGATTATTCTCATTTTTTTCTCGAGTTATTCGAAAAATTCCAATTAAAAACAAAACTGGTTCCCGATTTTGAAATTAAGAAAACCCCGGATAGTTTTCATACAGTAAAACTATTAACATTGGCTGAATTTCTTTATTCATTCTGAACGTTTGGAATAAACTTTTTTGTTTACTTATTTTTTAGAACGCTCCTGATGATATGTTAACGTATATTTCAAACGTATTCTGTTTATTCCGGCTGTGAAATGGGATTATCCGGAATGTATAAAGAAACGCAGCCATTAAAGAAGCTTATATTAAGAAAAGAGCACAGCAAAATAAGTTAACTTTTTTTTAGACCAAAAGTAAAACCAATAAAAATCAGTGGAAAACTCAATTTTAGTCCTATTTTAACTTTTTTTTAATGCTTTATTGCATTTTTTCTGACTTTTTTCGGATTTGAGTAATGCTGTTGCCATCGTAGCCGAGTACATAGATGTGCCTACAATCACTAGGAAGGCTCATAGGTCAATTTCTGGTCCCAGCAGCGGTCGCCGTCGGCAGACAATGGCAAACCACCGAGTGTAAAAAAGCTTCTTCGTAGGTGGAGTAAAAGTATAGATCTCTCCATTTGTGTGACAACATCAAGGAGCATAACCCGATTTTGAGGAGGAGCTCGGCCAGACATTTAAGCGCCAAACATTCATTCATTGGAATCAAATATGATGTACGGTTCATCCCCAAATAACCTAGGATACAATTTTAAAAATATTGAGAGAATTCCCTTAAATTAAAAAAATCTTTGAAAACTTCGAAACCCCCAAAACTTTTATTGAGAGATCAAGATTTCTATGAAATAAAAAAAAACCGTTTGTTTGTTTGTATAGATATCAAAAAAAAAAACGGTGGAAACAGGGTTGGGAAACCTCGTCAATCACGCTAGTACATAAATATGTACGTACCCTGGCGGAAAAGATAAATCGGTTTCAAAAATCAACATTTTGACAAAAATCAACATTTTGACAAAAATCAACATTTGAATTAAAATTACAAGTAAACGAATTGAAAATACATAAATGCAAAATAGGACCATTGACTGCTTTTTATGACATCGCTATGTTAAATAAATCACTTCGTTGCAAGAAATAGCAATTAGTTGTTATTGAAAGAAGTGTAATTTGTAACTACTTTTAAATTAATCACATTTCCGGTGAGATACATACTTACTTACTTACTTAGTTGAAAACACATTTGAGACAAAAAGAATTTCCTTTCATTGTACATACAAACATACAAATATTTTGCTTTATTTCTCTGTGCTTCATACTTTTATCTTTTTTCACTTCCATCACGCTGGCCATAATACTCTGTTGCTAAGGAAACACGCTGAAGTTTTCAAACAAAAACAACTTGCACCAGGGTTCTTGTTTTATAATTAAAGGATTTGCGTTTGAATTAACAAATATGGACGATTTAACGGATTGCTCCTCGGAAATCATTGAGTTTTTGCCAACAAAGCAATTGGAAAAACAAAGTAAAGTCGTCGAAGCATGTGTTAACACAGATCCTGAACCGCCAAGTCAGGATAAATCAGAGGAGACTACGCCACATGCTAATACCAGCACTCAAACGGAGCTCTTTACTTCGCAGAATTGTGAAGTTGATGAGAGGAAGCTTGCCAATTGGTTACGCAAGATTTGCCCAGCCGTTGAGCAACAACTTCTCAAGGGACCTACACCCCTCAGTGATGGCTACGATAGTACTAACTCCTTTGCTGAACAGTATAACATACAAACATATCAAAAGATCGCCATGGGTGCAGTGGAAAACTCACAAGGAATTGCCGCTTGGTTATCGGTGCACACCAATAATGCACCCATATTGGTAGCTAGCACCAAGGCACCACACGATGACTGGTGCGACCATCTTCAGCAGACACTGAAACTTTTCGTGCCAAAACGCATACCAACCGGAAACTTAGTTATGTACAATGAAGTGAAAAGTGTGCCGCTGAAGTCATGCCTGAACTGCTTCAGTACGAATGGTTATAATAAGAATATATTTGCTGGTTCTACAATGGATGGCGACATATATATATGGCTGTGTAGTTCAGGTGGTCGAGGTGATGGTAACAATTTAAGATCCAACACAGCTGGGGCACATGAAATTGAAGAACTCTGTTGTACGACATCGCCACACGGCTGCGCTGTAGCATTGAATTGGCCAAGTGAAAATCGGCTGCTCAGCTTTCACTCAAATGGCACAATCATCTGTTGGGCTGTGGGCAAAGAATTGCTTTTGGAAAATGAGTAAGGATAAATTTGTATGTCCTTGTTTTACATGCATCAGGGCTACCGCTTCTAACACAGCCCTTATTTTAGGTGACTCATAAGTACTCGAGATCTGTCTGTACTCCAGATCTGTTTATTAATCCTGATTTCGCTAAGCTAGTCGTCCATGTCCACCATGTGCTTAACATTTTGTGCAGAACCGCACCTCGCAAGTTCAATCGCTATCTCATTTCCGTATATGTCTCTGAGACCCATATTAGATCAATTTAGAAATAATCCGAAATTTAGACTAACTCTCTCTTACTTGTACTGAATAAACAGCTGAAAGCCCGAAGAGCGGTGTACGCTTTAAAAGCCTTTTGTACAGTTCTACTCTTACAGTTATCAAAAAGGTGTGACCTAGCCGAGAAAGAGAAGAGCGCCTGAATTGCCGCCTGGCTATATAGACTGTAGGCAGCGCTTTTATATCAGATGGGTTTCTATTTAGGATGCACTGTAACCGAATGGCTCTTCTTTACTGTAACCTATCACCCTCAATATTTATTGCGCTGGTATAGCTATATTTTCGATAGAAAGGTAAGTCGATAATAATTCGAGCAGAACGTTCAGAGCCTCCATTTGGCAGGATCTCAGCTGGCCTCTGAATTCTGCTATGATTTGTTAATGATGTAATCCTTAATTTGGGCTGGCCACTACAACATCACTCCATATAAAAGTATTGGTCGGCCAAGAGTCGTGTACAATCGATGGCTTGCATGTCCATGTATTGCCTTGCATTCTATAGAGGACCACCGAGGCCTTCCGTACTCGCTCATCAATGTTCAGCATTCAATTAGGTTTGGGATACAAACAACTCCAAGATAGTCCACCCCGTATGAAAGACACAGTTCTGAACCCTTCAAATTAGGTTTAGTAAAATTTGATCAGTTCAGTTCAGTTTTCTCAGGATTCACACTAAGCGAATATACTTTTGTTATGGCTGCATCGTCAGCACAAGCCATTACTATGATTTACGGGGAATTTAGGTCCTGAAATTAAACCAATGAGTATGATTTCTAAAATTCGGCCTCTTAAAGCTTAAACGGACGGAGCGTCAAGTTTTTCTTTCAACTCTGCTCGTTCGTAGGTGAATAAGATGAGAAGAGATGGGAAGGGTGCAGATACCTCCGTACCATCCAGTCGTTTCAAGTTTACTTGCCTGTTTTAATCTTTTCGTTGTGTTCTTTAAGAGATTTAAATAAAACTTTAAGCTTGTGAAAGCAAATAGAAGACAGAAGGACTGATTCATATAAAAGCTGTGTCCTATTTAGAAGGTTTTCTTTTTATGATAAGAAATGTTGTATTTATCCAAACATAGATATACGAGAGGGATCACACTACTCAGATCTAAAGACACAGTTATAAGGTCCAATAAGTTCGTTGACGGTGGGCTTCAGTCTTTCACACAATGCGCTCAATAAGACCTTGTAACGTATGCTTAGAAGGCTGATCCCGCGGTAGTTGGCGCTAATGGCGGGGTCGCCTTTCCTGTGAATTGGGCAGAGCACAGTTAAATTCCAGTCGTCGGGTATGCATACATCTGACCATAAAAGTTGATGCATGCACGTTATCAGCTCCTCGCCGCCGTACTTGAATAGTTCAGCTGACCAGCTTTCGGTTACAGCAGCTTTGTTGTATTGCAGCCGCGTAATCGCCATTCGTACCTCGTTATAGTCAGGCGGTGGAACATCGACTGGGGGGCTCGGGTTCGTCTCTTCCACAACTTTCAGTGCTGCTACCATTCAGTAGGGTGGAAAAGTGTTGCCTTCATAATTTAAGTTCTTACAAGAGTTCGCCATGGTCTTGAAACCGTAAAGTCCCCTAACTCTCTGGTAAAATTTTCAGGGCGTTTTTCCTGTCGGCCAGCATTTCAAGCTCTTCGCACTCACGTATTTCCGACTATTTCTTCTTATTGCGGCAAATACGTCTCGCTTCCTTCTTCAGTTCCCTATAGCGGTCGCATATAGCTCGCGTTGCGGCCGATCGCAGCGTGGTCCTGTAGGCGGCATATATTTTCTCTGCTGTTTCTTCACACTCCGAATCGTACCAGTTGGTCTTTCCGGCTCGCTGAAATCGTACTACTTCTTCGGCAGCGGTATATAGTGAGAGGGAAATGTAGTTCCATTGCTCGCATAAGTCGGTTTGTTGAGTAGTGCTCTCAGAGCCAAGGTGTGAGCGGCGAATTCGCTGACAGTCTGTTGTGATTGCAGCTTTTGAACGTTGAGCTTTCCTTGTGTTACTTGACACACCTTTTTTGCTGCACAGAGGCGTGTGCGTATCTTTGCTGCAACAAGATAGTGATCCTCGGAAGTGTACGTACTTCTAAAGCACTGGGAGCGTACCTTCCGTCTATCACAAGCTGATTTGGTTTCTCGCTTTTCGATCTGGAAACAATCGCTTAGCTTGATAGATCATTTTATATTGAAACCTCGTACAGCCAACTACCATGTTTCGAGCCCCGGCGAAGTCGATCAGCCTCAGTCCATTATCGGACGTTTCGTTGTGAAGACTGAATTTTCAAGCGATGGTTCCAAAGATCTCTTCCTTGCCCACCCTGGCATTGAAGTCGCCAAGAACGATTTTGATATTATGGCAGCGCTCATAGAAGCCAACCTTGGACACTTCGTTCTTCTCCTCCGTCGGGGTGTGGGAGCAGATGAGCCAGATGTTGAAGAATCTTGCTTTGCTGTGGATTTTGGCGAGACGTTCGTCCATCGGGGTAAATGACAATACTCGGCGACGCAATCTCTCTCTCATCACAAATTCAACTTCGAATTTCCACTCCTTAACATGTCAGCGATGTCTACATCGCAAGCCCCCTGCCATTTCTTGCCTTGCCCCGTCCATCGCATTTCATAGATGGGGGTGATATCAGCTTTAGTCCTGACGAGGACATCAACCACCTGGGCAAAGGCGCCTTCCCCAATGAGGGTCCGGACTTTCCAGACCCGTGGTCGTCATCAAACGCGGGCTCTCATCCGAGGCTTTGCTGAATTTATTTACTAGAACAGGTTTTCACGTAGCGGGTCCCAAACCCAGCGCACATCCCACTGCTGGGACAAAACATCAAATAGGCTACTGCCTCACTATGGGTACTTGATTCTACTAATATTTCTTCTTTAATTCACTTTTTTTTCATAATTCAAAAGATTCCAGCTGCGTCCTCAGCCAAATGCCTCAAACGAGATCACAGCAGCAGTTTGCTTGAGTTCAAATACTTTCGCGGTCGGCGTCAAAGATGGCTCCATATTTTTATGTACGATTACCAGTTTCGGCGGAGTCAGAAAACAGATGGAAATATTACCTTTGAAAAAACATTCATTTATGGTATCAACTTTATTAAAATCTTGTATAAACGACTATCCTACTATAATAAGTTGTGATTTAAGCGGTCAAGTTTACTATCACAGCATAACTAATATGGAAGAGGTAAGTGAGGACCTAACATACTATGCTCATAAGTTAATTAATTAGCAATTAATTTTTTCATTCACTTCCTACAAACGCATGTACATTTCAAGGAAAATCAAAATGTTATACATATACCGCTACCTTTCAAAAACGCTATCGCCTGTTCAAAAGATGGAAATGTTGTCTACTGTCCAGGAATTGACGGATCTTTGGAGTGTTACAGGTATTTTTATTGGTTTTTAATTATACATACAAATGTATGTAAAACTTCTGATATTCCAGCGTGCGCGATGGGGCCCATAACATTATTCAAGGTTCTTTGCGTGGCAAAGGGAATTGCATCGCATCCAGTGACAATGGGTAAATATCCTATAACTTAAAACAATTTTGATGTATTTTGGAACAATTTTCCGGCAAATTTTGGTTTGGTTTTAAAATATGTCGTATTCTAATAGCCTATTTCCACCAAAGGCTTAACTGCAGTTAAGAGCTCGGATAAGTTCCGAGAATTCTAATATGGGGTAATCCGCAAGGTTTATTTCTCCTTTGAGTTGTAATCTCCTTTTTCCACTAAGCATAAACTGCCGTTAAGGCTTGGTGGAAATCAACTATAACCCTGTCAGAAGAATCAACCAACCCCAAGATGGAAAATAATTTCCTTATGGGTTAACCCATTACACTTGTGTACATCTAAGTTTTTAGTGGGTTTGTAAATATTTTTGAACTTTTTTTCAAATCTGAAAAAGCTGTATTCCCAATCGGAACGCAGTCGACACCATTGTCGATATAGAAAATCCCACAATGACTACCGCAAAGAAATTCAAGCGTATGTTGAAAAAAGTCCCAATAAGAAGAAATATGTATACGTATAGGTCCTGTTTTGTTTTCCACTTGAAATAATTTTAAAAAAAATATATATATATATATATATTATTATGTTCGAAATGCAACCGTGGACGCCAGCTGGCAGTGAAGCTTGCAAATTTCTGCAGATCCCTGTTCGCGCTAAACTTTGAAACTTTCTCTCTTTGGGAGAGTAAGATACCTTAATCTCTGATTGGCTATTTCTTACTTTCTTTTCCAAACGAACACAGCTAATATTTGCTCCGAATGAAACATGCAAAAAAGTACGAAAGCGCAAAACCAGCAAGAAATCGCAAGTTTTACGAACAGCTGATTAATTTGTTATTTTCCAAAGCAATTTTCGACGAAAAATAGTAGCTCTTATCCAATACTTTTCGTGTAAAATCCTGTTAAAATGTCAAACAGCAAAATTTCTCTCAGAAGTGAAAGTACAAAGTGAGTAACAACCAAAAAGTACGGGAACAAAATAGCTCTGATCCAGTACTCCATGAACTTACAGGATTTTACACGAACTTGCAGGAAGTTGCAGGAAAAATTGTTCCCGTACTCCAAAATCCTGTAAATGAGAGCGACTTTTAGAGAGTTTTGTAGAGAATGAAGTTGCAAGATTTTACCGGAACTTTTTCTTCTGGTAAAATCATGAAAAGTGTCAAGCAATCACTGGTTGACGTTTTTACAGGAAAAATGGATTTTTTGTTCCCGTACTTTTTGTTGTTACTCACTTTTTACTCTCACTTCAGAGAGTAATTTTGCTGTTTGACAGTTTTACAGGATTTTTCACGAGAAGTATTGGATATGGACAGTCGATCGCTTGACACTTTTCATGATTTTACCAGAAGAAAAAGTTGGGGTAAAATCTTGCAACTTCATTCACTACACAACTCTCCAAAAATCACTCTCATTTACAGGATTTTGGAGGACGGGGACATTTTCCCTGAAACTCGCACTCTTGCGATTCAAACACAAAGCTTTTTTAATAGTATTTAATTGACTAGGAAATTGTTTCAAAAGTTCTTCGATTAAAAATTTTTGAGTCTTTTAATATGCTTGCTAAGTCAAGTTTATCACGCAGTTCATTAGCATATTCTGTAAAATTATCATGGAAAACTAAATCTTGTATATTTTCATAATTGGGTAAAATTTATTTGAAAGGAAAAAATCGTCAAAAATCGTCAATGGCGATTTTTCTAAATTTTTACGCGCAAATATCCAAAAAAATCGCCAAATCTGGACACTCTGGTTTCAATCCCCATTTGTGACGCGTATCTTAATGTTGTCACACAAATTGAGAAATTTATTGCTTCCAGCCGTCTATGAACTTCAGAAAGTTCTCATTAGAATCTTTTTCAAGATAGAAATAAACTCGGAGATTTGTCAATGCCAGACAAGGGGCACTTGCTCTCGAATTTTTACTTTAATTTCAGTTATTGGGGGTATAGTGGGGTCGGTCCCAGTTTCTGACGTATAGAAGGCCATATAACACCAATAGGTTGGAACTTTTCCAGCGTTTCAGGAGTGATGTAACCCTACTTTTTCACTAATTCAAGAAGTTTATCTTAAGATAAGTACATAATTGGCTTTCTTTTCTTTTCAGAAACTGGATTATTACTGGACTTTACCAAGACGATTTTCAGATATTTTACATAGAGAACTGAGTAAATGTGAGGATTAGGTACAGAATATAATTTTATAAGATATGCACCACCGCTCCCAAAACTTAGTCGAAGATCTTTTTAAACACTCAGCGGACCAAATGCTCGCTTTAACCCGGTAAAACACTAGCAAACGAAATTTTTTGAAAAATTTTGCTGGAGGAATGTACAAGAGAAAAAATAAAATAAGAACTCATTTTATATTAAATGTAATTTATTATCTATGATTTTACTATATACATATGTATTCATTATATGCGTTGGTAATCTAACTTATACACAAATATTTGCTTTTTTAAACTATTGTATAACATTCCAAGACTGGACAAGAAGTCATAAATCATATCCAAACTAAAATATTAATGCATATACATACACATATGCATGGCCTGTTAGTTATGAGATATATAGTACATAGGTACATATTCTTGTGATTTCTCATAAACAAGTAAAGATGTTATCAAAAAAAATTATTAGATTTGTTAACAAATCACAGACATAAAATGGTTAATAAATATGATTCTCTACTATAATACATACATACATTTTCCCATACCTTGATTTGTGTTAGTTATAACAGAAAAACATTGAATATATTTATATCAAAAATAATTTTGAGTAAAAACAAGACATGCTTCTGATCCAAAAACGAGGAAGACTATGCGGAAACTATATACAGGCAACGAAAAAAAATGTACCCACTAGTATATTTATTTGTTACGTAATCGTCGCTTCTAAGCATTTTGTACATTTTTTATCAGCCAGGAATCAAACAACTAAGCGTTAAAAGGGACCATATGGGCAAATCCCAGAAATAGTCAAACCAAAACGTAAAAAATGCATGAATTTGAAATTCTCACATTTTCCAATCAATAATGGCATTGTACAATTACATATATTAAATTCAAATTTCTTTTTACACTGATTTGAGAAATGTAATTTGGCCTTCTTACTTCTTGAAACAAAGCTCTGAATAGCCTCAATGGTAAGCACTATTATCTTTAATTAAAATACCACGCTTTCGCTTAAAAATAAATTTTCTTGGTGATAAAAAGGGTAACGTCCGCAACGAAGGTTTTTTGTTATAATACATTTTGTTAACTTCGTTATTTTCCCTTCTTGTAGATTCTTCTTCATACGTAAACTTTTCAGAAATCTGTTGTCTTTGATGATCACCTGAAAATCGCGTCCATTTGAGTAACAAATAAAACGACATTACTTTAAATTCTAATTTTAACTATTTTGTTCTCATAAGTACTGCTATAAACCTTTCCGTTTACCAGGCAAATATTTTAACTTTTCCTGTTTTGCCGCCAAAAAAAGTTAAAGAAACGTCCGAACGTAAGGTCCACAACGCCAGGATTTGCCCATATGTTAATTAAAGCGAAAATGTATGTTATTACAACTTTTTTCAAGTAGTTACGGTCTCGCATATACGCTTGTATTTATAAACTAGATTACATAGTACGGTGCATTTGTTGTAATGTGACTTTTTATTGATAAATTTGACGCTAAATGGCCCTAACTCTCTTTTTATATTACAAATAAAATCGTTTTTAGTAAATACAATAAAGTTGCTCTCATTGTAAAGTAACGGATGCAAGCAAATGATTAAAATTTGTTAGGAATATATTGTAAAGGTGACAATTTACATAAAACATATCAAAAATATATATATAATTGTATATTGGAATAAGTCGGATAGACAGACATATATATACACACATGAATCCTCCTAGCTGCAAAACAAAAATAATTGTAATATGTATAAACCGAATTTCCGTCAGAACTTTTTAACAAGACATGAGGAGAATGCTTTCCGAAGAAGTATATACAATGAATAATTGGTTAATATACAAAATATCAAAAATACATACATAATATGCGCCAAAGATGATAAGAGCACAATATACATATACAAGAACGTAAATATTCATATATAGTAAGACTAACAATAATGATATCGGAAACAGTTCAGCTACATATTTCTTGTACAGCAAACATTATGCCTCGATGATAAACTTTTGACTGCCTAGGATGGACTACGCCAGGTTTTCTTTACGGTAATGGCTGTATTTTATTTCAATTAGTTGAACAAAACAGTATTTGGATCCTCATCGTCCATTTGCTTAACATGGCGCAAAACGTCCTTCTTAGTTATAACACCCAGCAAACGACTGAAAAGTTTTAAAGAGCAAAGTATCTTTCAATTTCTAACAAATATGTGCATATGAATTCGCAATTACCCATTATGTGTCACCAGTGTTTGCCGTAATCCCAATTTTCGGAACATATCCACCACAGTTTCCATTGGTGTCTGATCTGTTACCGTTATGGGCGCCATATCCAAGATTTTCTTCAATTTCAGCGGTGGTGGACCCAAATTCTGAGTTTGCGCTGCAGATGTAAATAATACTATCGACGAGCCAGTGATACCCTCGATCAGCCGCTTGCCGTTACCTAAATGTGAATGAAAGTTATTAGGCTTTTAATTGTTTAATTTATAATCTATTTCAGATTACCTATAGCTAAATTGAGATCCCTGCGCAGCACGAACCCAACTAAATACTGACTTTCTTTTGACACTACAACTGGATATCCATTATGCTCAGTCTCCTTTAGTAATGTCTCAATGTCATCAACAGTCATAGAATCTTGCGTGATAACATTAAGAGTCTCATTCCTTCTAAAGATATATAGGATCGAATTAACAATCAACATATTTCTCATTGAAACCAAAAATTTAAAAACTTACTTTGGTTGCATTACATCAGCTGCCAGAGTTGTATGTGCAAACTCCTCTTTACTATCGAGGAACGGATAACCATTAAGAGCTATGTGTGCATCATATATACCCTGAAAAAGACAAACAACAATAAAATAACTTTTTAGTAGAAGAAAAATTAAATAATTATTATCAGCTCTATTCTTAATTTGCAAACAAAAATTACGAATCTTGATAATTTCAGTAAAAAATAGCATATAGAGGCGATTGAATATAAGCCATTGATTTTTTTTTTTAATGTGGAAATAATAACTTAATTTACCTGTCTTCCGAGGGCATCACCCACCCATTTCGAAGCCATAGCAGCAGCCATCAATGGAACTATATAACCAACGCCGCCTGTCAGCTCGAACATGATTACCACCAAGGAGACAGTCATGCGTGTTACGCCGCCCAGAGTCGCAGCTGCGCCCACCATCGCATATAAACCGGGTGTAATAAGATTTTTGCCACTGACGCATTCGCCGGTGAAGAGCCAGATGTTTGGATAGCTGTAGGCGAAACGTTCAACGCCTATGCCATAGAGAAAATCGGTAAAAATTACATAGGGAACATTAAAATACTCATGGAAACTCACCAATTCCTACAATGCGACCCATAATTGAACCCAGTAGCAGGGAAGGTATGAACAAGCCCGCAGGTACCTTCATGCCAAAAGTGAAAACAGCCAATGCTAATTTAAATACAAAAGCAAGTAGGAGCAAAATAATAGCATGATATACACCAGCGCCCGGTTCCGTCACTTCTATCGAAGATGTGGCGCCATTCGTAATATTCATGCGCTTGTAATCGCTGCAAAAAAATGTTTGAGTAAGTCAATAAAGTAGATAGAGGCTGAGGCATTAGTTATTGGTACTTACCATAGCGGATTCGTGGTATCGCCCGGCGAACATTGACTGAAGAGTAAATAAATAAGCTCGTTCATATTCATGCGCGTAAATGGATTGGGAAAGCACAAGATGCTAGTTACAAGTGTCACCACCAGCACTTCAACAACGGGATATTGGCCTAGCTTGCTAAATTTGCGGTAACGACACCACCATAAATTCGCCTTGATAAATATTGTGCCGATTACACCCTATGTTTTATTGTTAAAATATATATGTATGTAAATATTAATAAGCAATAGCAGTTTGCATATGTATATCATGCACTTACGCCCATAATTCCCAAAAACACAAATGGTATAAGTTCGAAGAATATCCAAGGTTTATTATATTCGACGAAAAATAATACCGAATGCTCATTTCCAAAGGGTGTCAGTGAACGTAAAACGAATGCGGCAATTAATGCGCAAAAGAATGAACGCCACAGCGTCTTCAGCGGAAAATAGTAGGAAACCTCCTCGAGTGAGAACAGCACACCACCGATGGGTGCACCAAAAGCCACAGACACACCAGCCGCTGCAGCTGCAGATAGAATCTCACGTTTCTTCGCCTCATTGCGTCCATATTTTGGAAACATGTGCGAGAATATATTGCCTATACAGCTGGCTATATGTACCATGGGACCTTCTTTGCCCAACGTTAAACCCGCTGATACAGAGAGCATGAGACCAACAGATTTAATTAGCAACGTCCACTTGCCCAAGTAACCACGTATAATAAATCCGGAAAGTATGGTCTTAATTTCCGGTATACCAGAACCACAGGCATACGGTGCAAACATGCGCACTAGCGATGCACTTAAAGCGGCAAACATTAGCGCCCATAAGATAAACCAGAAATAGGACATTAGGTAGGCGCCAGTGCCATTACGATCCATACCCATAATCTCCGGCCAAGTCTTCCACTGTAAGTAGCAATTGCAATAGTGAAACATAATGAGAACAGTAACTACATATATACGTTTATAAATATTTACTTACCGTTGAGCAATTGCCCTCTTCGAATACAGATTGTTTTGTTGGCCAACAGCATTGCTCGCGATTAAACCAAAAAGCTTGTGGACAAATGCCGTGCTTCAAATCAGACATCCAACTGGCGCCAATATCGATCATGCCAGCTACAAAACCAGCAGCAATACCAACAAAGAGTACACATAACCAACCGGACCATGCATCATGAGCACCCTATAAAAGAAAACCTAAGCTGCAACTGAATGTTATCAAGGCAAAATTAGTTAATGCACCTTCAGAAGGTCCCAAAATGAATCCTGTCTCTTTTTGACTATATAGCGATGCCGCATGCGATCACGAGCAATATCGCGTTGCCAGTCGATCGTGTGAAAATCATCGTATTGTCCAATGCCAGGTATATCATCGTG